GACAGATGAGGGACAGACGGACAGATGGAAGGACAGACGGACAGATGAGGGACAGACGGACAGATGGAAGGACAGACGGACAGATGAGGGACAGACGGACAGATGGAAGGACAGACGGACAGATGAGGGACAGACGGACAGATGAAAGAGTTTGGCAGTGAGCTGTTTCATTCGTTCACATAACCTCTGCATATCTGCGACCGCAGGGCTGATGGGAGAAACAGCTCCAGCATCTTTTAACGACACTTCAGTTTGTGTGATTGTCCAGGACTAGCCTTTAGTATTCACTAGAGTGACCACACTGCATTAACTAAGTAGCTCAGTTTAGTCAAGTCACCTTTACTTCTATACAATAAAGTCTGATCCAAAGCAGCTTCAGAGAATCAATGTGGAAAATAAATCAATGATGTGATTATAATATAAAATAATAACACAAACTTTGCTGGAAAGCAGCTCTACAATAGACAATAGTGTCATTACTCAGATCAGTGTTGGTTTGGTTTCATAGATATTATGCAGATTTCATATAAATGCAGCTGTGTAGGAACAGAATGAAAGGAAACACATCTGTGATCAGTCTGATATTAATATGTTAATAATAACAGTGCATAACCTCTTTCTGTCTGCAGTAATGTTCATATATTAGGGTTAGGGTCTGTCTATGTGCTGATGTTTCTCTGTGAGTGTTTGGATCAGCTCTGTGTGTGTGTGTGTGTGTGTGTGTGTGTGTGTGTGTGTGTGTGTGTGTGTGTGAGAGAGAGAGAGAGAGAGAGAGAGAGAGAGAGAGAGAGAGAGAGAGAGAGAGAGAGAGAGAGAGAGAGAGAGAGAGAGAGAGAGAGAGAGAGAGAGAGAGAGAGAGAGAGAGAGAGAGAGAGAGAGAGAGAGAGAGAGAGAGAGAGAGAGAGAGAGAGAGAGAGAGAGAGAGAGAGAGAGAGAGAGAGAGAGAGAGAGAGAGAGAGAGAGAGAGAGAGAGTGTGTGTGTTTATCCTTGTCTCTGCGGCCTGTTACCGGCTCCGCCGCCCGTTACTCAGCTCACAGACGCACAAATCATCGGAACTGAGTTTTAGACTCATTACTTGTTCTTCACTGCGAATCCGGAACCGGTGGATCCGATTCTGTTGTGCAATTCAGTGACTAAACGGCAAATATTCCGCCGTTTATCCGCACACTCCTGCTAAGAGGCTAACACATTAGCGTCACGGCTAACGCCGCTCTGACGCGTCAGACGACAAATAAACAGTGATTGCTAACAAACACACACTGCTGTGACCCTCACACTGTCCTGTCACACACACCTGTGTCTCTCACACACATTAGGGTGGGTGTGGGTGTGGGTGGGTGTGTGTGTGTGTTTGTCAGTAATCGGGTTTAATCTCGATCAGGCCTACAGCCGCACCGCCATTTTACATTTTAACCTGCAGAGCGACCGCGAAACTCCGCAGTGACAGTAACAACCTTAACCTGGTTAATGAAGTTTAACTAATCAGACAAACTGTTTAACTCACCAGACGCTGCTACTGGTCTGCGGCGCGTCACAGCGACTCAAATGCTGCACTCCTCTTTTCTGGGTGAAGGATTCTGTATGTTTGTTGCCAATTCGGATTGCACATTTGTTATTTGAATACATTGATTTTATAATGTCAAAAACTTTACCCCCTACACCACTTTGTAAGAGCTTATAATATAATCCGTCGTGCCAAATAGAATCAAATGCTTTTTTGAAATCGATAAAGCATGCAAATATTTTTCCATTTTTGGTGTGTTTTACGTGTTTATTGATTAGGGTGTGTAGGGTGTAAATGTGGTCAGTCGTTCTGTGATTTGGAAGGAAGCCAATCTGACTCGGGCTCAGGACATTGTGCTCGTTAAGGAAGTTTAGCATTCTATGGTTTAAAATGCTGCTAAATAACTTTCCCAGATTGCTGCTCACACAAATGCCTCTGAAATTATTAGGGTCCAGTTTGTCTCCACTCTTATGAATAGGAGTAATGAGATGTCAGGAAAGCAGCCTGAACTAAGTACAGTGTTGAATGATTTGAGCACAGCTGTCTGAAGCTCAGGTGTGCTGTGTTTCAGCATTTCACCTAGAATGCTGTCAGGACCACAAGATTTCTTACATTTTTGGCTTTTGAGTTTGTTTGTCAATTCTTTATATGTAATTGGGAAGTCAAGTGGATTTTGATTATTTTTAATTGTGTCTTCATAAGTTTGTAGGATACATTTTGCAGGTTTCCAGCTTGTTTTGTTCTGCTGTGTGATTTGTTTTAATATAAATGTTAGTTTGGTTATGGTCAGAAAGTGGAGTTTGCTGTTTGACAGCGAATGCACTGAAGGAGGACGGGTCCATGTCAGTGATGGCATAGTCAACTACACTAGCTCCAAGACCTGAACAACACGTGAACCTCCCTAAAGAGTCCCCTCTGATCCTGCCATTAAGTATGTACAGGCCTAAAGCTCGGCAGAGCTGCACTAACTCTGAACCATTTTTATTTACAGTTTGGTCAAGATTATTTCTCGGTGGAAGTTTTCTTGTGAGACTCGGGGAGTTTTGGCCAAAGATATATTCATTGCCCTTTGGATCTATGTTATCGGGTTCAGATCCAGTTCTTGCATTAAAGTCTCCACACAGCAGCACATTTCCCTGGGCCTGGAAACGGCTGATCTCTGTGTGGATTTTGTTCAGGTATTCCTCAACATGGTAAGGGGATTCTGCTGGGGGAATATAGATGACACAGAGATATATGTCAGTAGTTGAAATGCCAATTTGGTTGTTTAGTTTTAACCAGCAGTGAAATTTTCCAAATGTAATAATAGAAATGTGCTTGGCCAGAGCTTCACTGTACCACACCAGAATTCCTCCTGAGTCTCGTCCACGATGCACTGTGCTTAATTTAACAGAGGGCACAATTACTTCATAGTAGCCTGAGGGACAGTAGGTAAGCGCATCATTTCTACACCAGGTCTCGGTGAGAATGATCATATCAGCATCTTTGATATTTTTAAGAAATTCTGGGTCTGTGCTTTTAGAACCAAATGTTGAAGAGTGAAGACCCTGAATATTCCAACAACTTATATGAAATGAACGCATAAAATTTTTAAAGATAAACCTGGTTGGTAAGACAGAGAGAAAATAACGTGAAGCTAGTGTACTTATGAAAACGTGCATGGCAAACAATTTACATTAGTGTTTTTTATTTTTGTTGTGATTTTTATTATTAATTTTTATTAATTTTTTTTTTTTTAAGCACTGTGTTTGTGCATATTGTCCTTATCTGTTCAGGAGCTGGTTGCACAGTGTCTGCAGCATCTCTCTGATCTGGCTCAGTTCGCTGGCAGGTGTGGAGGTGCTGGGTGCAGCAGGGGGCCGGGCTGCAGCTTCAGCATAGCTCTGTGCTCTCAGCCGTGGGGGCTTCTCTTGGTGTGGGGTGGCTTTTGGTTTCTTCTTTCTTATGGGGGATTGATTGTCAGCAGGTGGTTGTGAAGTTGGTGACTGTAGGTTTACAGCACCGTGAGGAGCTATAGGTGGGTGTGGTGGATGATGTGGGATCCTTGTCCAGGCGATGTCTTTCTTCACCAGGGTCGGAGTGGGATGTCTGGGCATGTAGGGGTGAATGGGCCGGTAGGGTTCTGGAGTTGGTAGCAAGTGTCTCGGTGATGATAGTCTGCGGCCAAGGGCTGCATCCTTTAGGGTTTTTGCAAAAACACGTACTGCATCTTTATGGAAGTGAAGTCCATCATACAGATGTTGGAGTCCGATGTTGTGGTGGTGGGCCAGGTCTACATTAGGGAGCGAAGAACATCCATGGGAAATTTCAGCATTAATGCTGTAGATGATGTGTGGTGGTGTGTCGCATCGTGGGAAAAGTGTGGAAATTATGATTCGGGACTCTCTCTCTCTCTCTCTCACTCACACACACACACACACACAGTCATCGATACAAACACACCCAGAAACACTTGTTCACTGTGGAGTGACAATGACTGTGATACACACTGCAGCGTTTCTTCAGTATTGATGATGCAGGTTTATTGTGAAATTGAATGAAATGTTTATTTGAAGCCCAGGGCTCTGATTCCTCTCACAGCTGAGTGTTAGATCTTTAACAGAAAGTGACAGTGAGGTACAAGATTAACTTCACACTGTATTCATCAACTACATACAGAGACTCACAGCAGATCTCCACTGACCCTTTCCTGACACAAAGAAGACTTTTTAATTCAATACATGTCTAATGATCAGAACATTGGAAAATCCACCACCAAAATCATCCCTCAGTCCATCCACGATCCTCTGAACATCAGTGCTATATTTGCATAAGTTGTTGTTAGAACCATCCACTCAAGAAGCAAGAACTGGAGACGGATGATCAGAAGCAACTGAGACAAACAGGACAGAAACAAACGTTCGTGATATTGCTCTAAACGTGAAGACAGTAGAGTTCAATGGAGTTTAAATCACAGTCGATGGCGAGAGCAGCGCCGCGTCACTTCATCTACTTCCCGTATCCCTTCTCCAATCCTTTGTCTGAGTAAAAACATGATCAATTAATCAAGCACAAAACACACGGAGACACATTCTGAAACATCCCGGAAGCAAACAGAACCCAGGCAAAACCAACGGAAAGCACATTTTAATATGTACATCATTTAAATACATAAAACTCTGGGAAAAGACGCAAGGCACCGTGTCATCAGTGAAACTCTGTGAGAAGGCAAACGAAGCTTTAACATGGTGTTCGACATGATTTCATCAAGCAGTGTAGAAGCATCTATCCCATAATCCCTCAGGAGCATAAAGTGCACGATGTGTCCTGCTACAGACCGACCGCAGGCAGGAGCGACAGGCCTCGGCTGTGATCTAAATATGGCTTTCAGTGAAGCAGAAAACTGAACTAAAAACTCACGCTCGCAGTGTTTCACCTCACACGAGCACTGCACGATTATGACGAGCTGCATGAACGCAGAGTGCAGGAAGCAGACGTGATCACCATCTGAGCTGATGACACTTGAAAAAGCCCATTGCAGGAATGCAGGAGTGCAGCGATCGGTGCAGGGTCTGAACAGATGACACGTGAAGAAGTCCCGTGTGTGTCTCACTCGCTTACACCTCACACTAGAATTAAAACACAGACAGACATGACCCTGAGAACAGAGAGATGCTCTTCCAGCGGCGGCCGGTCTCAGTCTCAGTGTGCCGCTGACTGTCGGAGAGATTCTGCTTCCTGACCTTTGGCTGCCGTTAAACACGAGTCCAGCGAGCGGTGCCTCCTCATCTCCGCTGCACAGAGAACCAGAATAAACCCAGAGGAGAGACGCTCAGTGTTCCAGAGCAGTGACCTGAATGACAGCAGACACGCCGCTGACAGAGGAACCGCACAAACACACAAGTCAGTATAGCGTCTGAACACGACCCGGCTCTCATCCAGAGTCTTCCTCACCAGAACCGTATAGACCTGCAGCAGATGGACACAGAAACAGCTAAAACAGAGACGGGGAACTACAGCTCCCTGCAGTCACAGCCGTCTTCAGCACACTTCTGCGAGAAGCTTCATAACCGGAGTCCATCTTTCGCTTTGAATCAGTGCTTCAGAGAATAAGGTCATGTGATTTCAGTAAATCAGGCTTTGTTACGTCATAAACTGTTTCAAAACTTTTCAGAATGTAACTGTTGATGATCTCAGTCAACCCATAAACCATCGTGTGTGTTTATTTTATAATTTTAATAACACATTTGTATAATAAAAGAGGAAGAGCAGTAATTCATTGACTTTTCTCCACCCCTGATCAGTCAAGCCCAAAACAAGCCATGCAAATACATTAGAAGAACACATCTTACTTGACAGGTCATATTTTCACGACATGTGCAGCTGGTAAAAGCATGCATGTTTCTGTTTCTCGCGTCACTAGGGAAAGCTAGCGCAGCTTGTGATTGGTCAGACACACACTTCACAAGCTGAGGTCACCGAGGTCAGGTCCTCTGTAAATCGTTCATGTTTTCATGTTCATGGAAAAGATCGCTGCGAGACGCTGATGGAGTGAGTGAGGGTGCGGGAGCGTTTTGAACTTGTCTTTTCTACTTAATTTGACACTTTAGAAAGTTAATAAAGTGGGAAGTTGCAGTTTAGGGTCAGCGATATCTTTACTTATTTACAAAACATTTGAACTAATTATGTTTTTGTTTTACTTATTTTGCCATTTTTATTTGTTTACATAGCAATATCTGGCTCTTAAACTGACAGCATACCACATTAGGTGAGGAAACACAAAACATCATGTTATTATCTGTCAGAAACCTTATCACTGCGATCAACATCATTTAACACTAGTATACAGATCTTTAGAACAATAGCTTACAGAATGAAATTAAAAAGTCTGTTATTTTATTCAGTATAGTAGTTAAAATTTCACAAAATCATCTATATAGCAATGGTTATTAATGAAAACTATAACAGTAATATGTATTGTTGTGTGAATAATAAACTGACAAAATGATCAACTCCTAACCTATAGTAAAGTATTTTGATTAAATAAATATGGCATAATTTAGCAACGTTCATCCCTCTAAAACAGAGAAAACATCTTTCACACACATTTACACGTCTGTCTGTTTTAAAGTGTCTAGTGTATATAATGAGTTATTTGTGGGGGTTAGGCTGGTTAGGCCATGTTCACAAACCAATCAGAATGAAGAGCTGTGTGCCAACAGTGGTAACTAAAACTAAATTGATAACTAAACAACATCAAATTTACACCATATTTAATTATCTTGTACAAATCCAGCTGCACTTCATATTTTCTATAATAATAAGTGAATATGTTCATCTTTACTGTATGTTTTGCTCGCTGTTATTCCTCCAGCCACCACCTGACGCTCGGCCGGAAAAACGTCATCACGCCACGGCGGAGATGACGCGTAACGTACACTTGAAACAAAAAATAAATAATATTATTTCATATGTAATACCTCTTGTTCTTGTGCCATTGGATTAATAAAGCATTTAAAAATAAATAAATAAATGAAGTGCTTTTGACAGATGTGCCGTTTGCAAATGCGTTATTCATGTGAGCCGATTCTTTTCGATGAACCATTTAAATCGGTTCAAAAATCGCTTCGGTCGAACCTGACACATGCGATGTTAGGCTTGTTTGAGTCTCCTCAGTTGCCTGAGATGTTCAGAACTGTCTTGACTGCACTTATTTCTCTCCTCTCTGCATATTGTCAAGAAATTAAAGTTCAAGATGCGGTCATATGCTCAGATTCATGTTCAGCGTTAGTTAGTATCGATAATCGGCAGTCAGAAACAGAATAATAGTCAGAAACAGACCAGGGGCAAGTTCAAGCTCAAAACGGTGTGCACCGTTTTGCTACGGTTTCCGGTTTGAACGACATGTTTCCTGGAAACGGTGTGCAACGGGGTTTGAGATGGTTTTCTCTTGTTTGGTGGGTGTGTCAAACATGTCAGCCAATCAGCAGCAGCATGTATATAAACCACTCGGTATTAAAGACACAGCTCGCACTATGTAATTAACATCAAAATAAATTTACAAGAGCAAGTATATTGTTTGCACATGTTTATTTACATTAA